CAGGGGCCGGGGGAGGGGAGGGGAGGTCGCTGAATCGCAGATAGGGATTTACGCCCTCCGAAGAGTTTCGCCCCGAGTTTTGTAAACACTGCCGCAAATTTGGCCGGCGGCGCCGCGGCGCGAACCTGCCCCCTCGGCACCTGAAGCGGAAACGCGATTTCCGCCCGGCGAAGGTCGTCGAGGTAGAGGAGGCGTGGCGCAGAAGGTGATGCCCCGTCACGTCCGAAGCGTCCGCCAAATTTCATGACGAAAGTCGCGCTGAGCGGCAAAAAAAAGTTTGTCGATGTGAAGCAACAAGCGAGAACGGGCAGCCGACGTCCACCAGACCGACTGCCCGGCCGCGCCTCGCCCCATCTCCGCCATGCCAACTTCTTCTGGCCCCGCAGGACATCCCTTACAGTGGCGATATTTTTTGCCGGTGGACCTCTAATTTCCTCCGACGGCCGACGGGCGGCCGACGCGGCGCTGTCCCCAAAGGCCTGGGGGAGCCCCGAGGCCTTTCCCGATTACGGACGGTCCCCCGAACGCGGTGCATCGTCGTGCATCGCATCGCCACGGGCACGGCCACGGGCACGGTATGGTGCGGTAAACGTGCATCGCTATCCATCTCGGCTGCCAATACTCCGTTAACCCAAAGCCATAATGTAACGTGATACATCTCAGATTCATGGATTCCCAGCTTCCCCCTCTCCCGCCGCCGCCCCATTTGACTGACTGCTGCGATGCGCCCCCCGCCATCCGCCCCGACCGCCAACAACGGCTCGGATTCGAGGAACTGCCGGGCCGGGAGCCGGGACCGGGGGCAGAGCTTTTACCCCGCGAATCACTGCAAACATGCTTCACAGAGAATACTGGATAAGACTACTACACACCAGCGCTCCGTATTTCCGGAGACGACCGAGGCCACGGTGCCAGCCTACTAAGCCTAGCCCTGACCTTCCTAACCTAACCTAACCGCCAGCAGGCCGCTCGGCAGGCCACGCATCCGTTTTCTCTGAACGGGTTCAGTTCATTGTCATTCTGTTTCGACGTGGTTGTAGCTCTCTTTGAGTGTCTCCCATCATCGCCAACAGTGCTGTTCGGGCGTCAGCAGACCTTTAGCGTGGTCCAAAATGAAATGCCACAAGTAAATTTGGTGAATGAGTTCCGTGCTGTAGGCCGGCTGCGACACGCGTCTGGCTCGACAGGTTTCGACTCGCACAAGGGACGACAGACGGACGGACGCCCGGCGCGGCGGCTCAGCTTCGCCGACAGCCCTTACTCTGCGGCGTTCGCAAAACGACAACAACAAACACAAACCGGCGGCACATTGGCAGTGTCACGTTGTCTCGAGTCACGTACCGGGGTTCACTGGAGATGACGAGGACGTCACGGGGGTCGGGGGGTATCACTTATCACACGCGCGGGGCAGCGGGACGGACGGGACGGGAAGCGTGGCGGCCCGACTGGCCGACCCACCCCGTGCAGAAGCCGCGACAACACTGGCGGCGTCGGCGTGCCCCCACCGCCCCGGCAGTGCCCCGGCAGTGCCCCAGCCTGCCAGCCAGCCGGCACCTCGCCGCGCCGCGCCTGCCGCGCCTCGGCCCCCACCACTCCCCAGACTCCGGCAGCCCCAGGCCCCAGGCAGGGCACGGGGCAGTCACGCCAAGGCATTCCCTGTGGCTGCGTCCGCGTCGTCCGCGTCGTCCGCGGCGGCACCCCGTCGTCGCTTCCCCTCGCTTCGCGCTTCGCCTGCGGCCGGGCCTGCCGGCCCCCCTCGCACTTTATCGCGCCCCCGGCTCGGAATGGCCCTCTCTTCCGAACGCACCCCCGAAAGAAAAGTGAGTTGTAAACTCGGCGATCGGTGCGAAGCGCGAAGCAGAACATTGAGCAGATGCACGGGTTAGATTGAAAAGCGCTCGGCGAGTCGGGGTGTCGGCGCCGCGGGGCCACCCTATAACCTGGCGGGCTGTGCGCTGCGCCCTCCACTGTAGAGTGACGGGCCGCGTCGCCAAACAACGACGCGAGGGTGTGAGTTGTGTTTACTGCCCGTGCTATGTGTTGCGCGGACAGACAGACGGACGGACGCACAGGCGGACCAAGTAGAGTCCTCCACATCCAGAACTCTATCCGAGGCGAGGCGGCGTGCGACGCTCTGCCGCACCATCCCACCGCCTCCGCCCCTCCTCCGAGGAGAGCGAGTTGGCGAAGGGTGGCTTGGGCTCGTGTACGGAGCGAGAACCGTACTAATCTTTCCGACGACCCTGCCCCCAGTCTTGCCTCTCTGTTTCTCTTCCTTTCTGACTTCGGTCTCACTTCCACCCCCCTCATCTCTCTCTCTCTCCTCTCTCTCTCTCTCTCTCTCTCTCTCTCTCTCTCTCTCTCTCTCTCTCTCTCTCACACACACACACTTACACACTTACACACTTACACACACACACACACACGAGTCAGTGGAATTAGAGAAACGGCACGGGAGGGAATGCGGAGGTTCAAATACTGGTAGTCTGAGGAGCATTTTTCCCTTTTTGGCGTCGCGGTGGCGCTTTTGCTCAAGTGACGGAGACGGAGAGGCCGGATGCAAGTTGCATGAAGGACTGCGCACCAAGAACGAGGGACGTCATGTCCCGGCGGACGCCATGCCACGCCACGCCACGCCACGCCGTGGCCGTGGGCGTTCCCCCGTCACCAAAATGTCACCTGGGACCGGAAGGGCGCAGGGCGGGGGAGGCGGAGTCGTAATTCCATTTTTCTTCTCTTCTTTCGGCAGATCGGCGTGGGTCTTGCGACGCCGAGGCCGTGGCGGCCGTGGCCTCCTCGGGGAGAGCCAGTCGTCGAGGGACTGGCCTCCGCTGTGGTCTACCGGCTCCCCCAGCCCCCAGGAGTCCACGCAGTTTCTCTGTCTGTGCAGTGTCTCCCCAGGCCAACGCAGCCAGCGCAGCCAGCGAGCGCAGCCAGCGCCCGGCAGGCGGGCCTCTGCTGTCTCGGCCACGCCGGTTGGGTTGCCTGCCACCCAGGCGCTCCACTCTCCTGCCCGTTCCAGCCTGTTCCAGAGGCGCGCGGACCGGGGCTCATTTTTCTTCCTGCGTCGAGACGCGAAACCTAATCCATCAGCGTGAAATCGAAACAAGTTGGACGCGATAAGACCTGTGCACCCTGCAGCAGGGCTCGAGTGCACGTACGCACTCAGGGCCTCGGCCTTCTTCTTGACGGCTTCGCGGCCGCGGCCTTCTTCATGACGGCTTCACGGCCGCGGCCTTCTTCATGACGGCTTCACGGCCTCGGCCTTCTTCATGACGGTTTCACGGCCTCGGCCTTCTTCATGACGGCTTCACGGCCTCGGCCTTCTCCATGACGGCTTCACGACGGCTTGACGGCCGCGGCCCTCTGCATGGCGGTCTGTGGGGATTCGCGCGGTGACATAAAAGCATGGTCGTTGGCCATCCCCAGGCTGCGCACCACGCGCCTCTCCCCCCACCGCGCTGTGTCACTCCGCGCGACGCGTCTGTCGGGGCCGCGTCACTCCGCGCCACTCATTGTCACTCCCAGAATGGCGCCGGGACCTGGCCGGGACGGTGCCGGGACGGGCTGACGTGGACGGCGATGACAAATGGACAGAGTGCGGCCGCGCGGACAGCAACGGACAGCTAGGGCGGGCGGCGGGGAACGGAGGGGGAGGGGGACGCGCTCGGATCAAATTAGTGTTGGATTTGTTTTTACATCATTTGGCGTCCGGTGAGGTAGAACTGGGCCAGGCCGCCATTGTGTGCTGGGCATCGGCGTGAGAGTGAGAGAGACAGCGCCACGCCCCTTCCTCGTCGTTCCTCGTCCCGCGCGAAAAACATGAAGGACGCATTGCGACACTCGTGAAGAAATAATGAATGAATAGGAAAACGCGGTTCGGCTGCTGCGTTCGTTATTAGAGCCGCGCCGAGGCGACCTACAAAAAGAGGCCTCACCTCGCCTGCGGGGCGGGGCGGGGCGGGGCGGGGCGGGACGGTGACTTGACCGACAATGCCGCACCATTACCGGCCCAGCCCAACATGGCGAGCGTCGCGGTGCGTCGCTGAAAGTGAAACCCGGGCCACACTGTCACGTGTCACACGGCGCGCCCCTACATGACCCATCCAATCTAGCAAAAGCGCCGCGCGAGAACGTGTTGGCGGCTCGAGGCCAAGCCGGCTCCCTGTCCCTGGCTCGGCTGGCTCGGCCTGGTGGGGCTTACTCGGCGCGGAGTGCCTCTACCTGCGCGCTGTGCTGCTTGTCCTGGCCAGAGATGTCGTTTCGGATAAGCCTTGGGGCCGCACAAGGCCCCACCCCTGCCGCCTGGCCTGCCCCTCTCGCTATCGCCGGCCAGAGCGCTCGGAACGCTCGGAACGCTCGGAACACGGCGAGAGGGAGAGAGGCGGAGGAAGCGGTGCGAAGCGGTGCGCCGCGCGGAGTGGAGCAGAGAGCGCGGTCCTGGCAAGGAGCCGCGGACGGGACTGCGCGGACGGCGGACTCCACCTGGGCCTGGGCGTCGTCGTGGGTGCGCTGCAGACCGATTCCGAGAGTCGTTTTCGTCGCTCTGTCTCTCTCGCACCACACGGGACGCCCCTTGAGTGCGAGAGAGACAGAGCGACGGGAACGACTCTCGGAATGAGTCTGCTGCGCCTGCGGTGAGGTTGGGCGGGTGAGGCAAGCGGTTACGTCAAGGAGTCCCGCTGCAGCCTCCGCCCTCTCCGCCTCGTGCAGCATGGCCGTGCGGCCGCGCCACTGTAAGCCGCAGAGATCCAATCGGAAGGCGCCGAACGCCCGAGAAGGGCGAGAAGGGCTTCCCGCTGGATCATTAAACTCGCTACAGTAGTGTTCTTCGCGCTTGGCGCGGGGATCGGCGCGGGGATCGGCGCGGGGATCGGCGCGTCGCTCCGTCCCTCTCGCGCCCCGCCAGAGCGAGGGAGACAGCACTGACCTAAGTCAGCCCGCGGCGAGTCGTGTGCGCACACTGTGCGGTGGAGGAGGAAAGGGAATCAAGTCCGGCATTACTTCTTAACTTAGTTGCTTTAATGGCGCGAATGGCAGTGACACACGGGTTTGATGGTGGGCGAGGTCGGCGGTCTTTGGGACGATGATGGGGGTGTTGATGGTGATGACGGACTTTGGCAGTGCTGTGGATTGGCAGTGCTGTGGATCCCGCTTACTGGGCGACTTCGGCGAGGACGTCCGCCCAGAAGGTGGCGTAGTCCTTCACGATGGAGCCACTGTGGAGGGAGCAGATGGTGGTAGCGACTCGGTTCAATTCTCGGACATGGCGTGTTGTTTGGCTGCACTCATTGCGCGAGACGTTTTCGTCGCTCTGTCTCTCTCGCACTCGTGGGACGTCCCGTGCAGGTGCGAGAGAGACAGAGCGACGAAAACGACTCTCGGAATGAGTCTGGGGCTACTCACGTGAAGAAGACCTGGCCGGGGGCGGCGTCGCGGGGCGCGGTCCAGTGCAGCGTGACGGACACCTTGTCGCGGTTGTCGGCGTGCGTGGCGGCGGAGCACTCGGGCAGCACGTTGACGGCGCCGGTGGTCTCCTTGAAGGAGCCCAGCCAGCCGCCGCTAGCCACGTCGCGCGCCTGGATGAAGAAGCCCTTCAGGTTGGCGCCGGAGATGGTCACTGCGAACAGAGCGAAGCAGAGGCGCGGGTTCAACGCCGGGTGAAGGTCGAGTGCTTTTCGATCACAAGTGGCCGCGGTGGTCGGCAGGTCGGGGCGGGGAAGGCGGTCCGACGGGATCCTGGCGGCCAGGCCGTGCCGGCCGTGGCGGCCGCGGCGGGATGCCTTCGGGTCTTGCGCAACCAGTTCAAGTCGAGCAGTACGGTACGGCGGCGGGCAGGCCTGGGCGGCCTGGGCAGGCCGAGCAGGCGGCGCGGTGCGGTGCGTGTGGTGGGTCAGGGACAGGGCGTGGCGCGGCGCGGCGCCCGGAGCGCAGCGACACACAGCGGTCCACCTCGCCCAGTCAATACCCCCCGCTGTCAAGGCCGGCGCAGCATGCCGCGGATACCCCGCGCTAGCGGGGTGTATCGGAAGGGATGATTCGAAGCGACGGGGTGAGGAGATCTAGAGCAGCTACCACCGGAAGAGAGAGGGAGACAGAGAGAGACCGCTCCGAGATGATTGATCTGGCCGAGGCGGTGCTCCTCATCTAGATGTAGGCCTGGCGGGACGGCGGGACGGCTTGGTTGGCCCAGACAGGCCGCGTTTCCCAACCGCGCTGAGGCAACGAGCTCTGCAGTGCTCTGCAGCAGGGTATGGCACGGCCCGAGTGCTACGCGATGAATGACACCCGTGGACATTGGACACGGGCTGAGCTTGAACGCAAGTTTCTTTCGGGACTGGGGGGCTGCCGCAGGGGCGAGGTAGGCAACCCACGGAGACGGCGGCATGGCGGCTTTGCGGGCCTGCCTACCCAGCCAGGCGCTCTCTCAGCCACCTTAAGCCGAGCTTGGTGGCCGAAAGTGCGGCCGTCGGGCTGCGCCAAGGGTTGCGGCGAGGGCTGCGCGTCTTACCCGTGATGGTGGAGCCGGCCTGGTACTGGCTGGTGGACGCCACGATGCGGTAGGGGTTGGTGTCCGCGGACTGCGCGGGGATCTTGCTGTGGTTGGGCTTGTTGCCCTTGACGCAGGCGTCCAGCGGCGCGCCGTCGGGCAGCGCGCTCACCGCGGCCACGGCCACCGCCTGCAGGGAGAAGAAGGGTGGACTTGAAGGCGAGCACAGAGTCTCTTTTGCGACCCCACGGCTCTACGGGACGCCGCCATGCGCCAGAGGCAGAGCGTCGCCGCCGGAGGGAGAGGGAAGTCCACGGGACTTGCTTACCGCGAGGACGAGGACGATGTGAGTGGAAGACACCATGGTGATGGTTTTCTTCTGCTGGTGTCCGCGCGGTCCCAACTCCAAGCCTCTACTGACTCTCCAGCTGCAGTTCCAGCATGGCTCCAGCGCCCCGGTGCAGAGGAATCCCCCTCCCTGCCAGGTCCAGGCAGCCTAAGGCAGCCCAGGCCGGCCGCCAGACTCAAGGTGGGTCGGGATCCCTTCCACCGGTACCCAGACAGTGTCCCTGCGCCTCCTCCCCACTCCCCTTTCCCCCCTCACGCCTCTAATGCCTCTCAGCCGAGCCGCCTCGAGTCGAGCACCTCTCACGCCCACCAGTGCACTAGTGGGCAAGAAGCGCTGAAGGAGGGTGGGCGTCTTTTGCCATCGGAAAATAAATGAAAGAGAGGTGGGGATCAATGCAAAAATCAACACGGCAACCATGTCTTAAAACAATTCTCAAATAATTTATTTTATACATTTCAAATATTCTTGATTAATTACAACCTTGAGAACCCATGACAATTTCCTGTAAGAAATACGGTACAAACAACCCACCAGCCGCCAGTAATAAACAGACATAGTATTGGAAAAAAATGCATAAAGCTGCACAAACAATTATGCTCATGTCTGATACCATACCAGAGAAGTTGAAAGAACAATTAAGAAAGAAAAAATAACGGACATCACAGCTCAGCTGTGTATATATATTTTTTCTATGGACATAATATTTGTGTCTTAGTTTTAGAGGACTCAAAAGAGCATAAAAATATTATAATTAAAGGATGTAAATCCAATAATCTCACTTCATCTAGCACTCAGAACACAATCACTCACAGAAATCTCATGCTAAAAGCAACTAAATTTTTAAAAAGTGGGACCTTGACATATGTTGTTTAGGCAACATACCTGTAATGGGTTTACAAGAATATTTGATGGTGGTACACTTTTGGCGAGAAATTACACATCACCTGTGTACAAAGTATCACAATTTAAGTAAAATACACTTGATAAGGGAGCTAGTGAACACCTTGTTCTTGGAGTAACAAAGTGTTTTAAGACCTGCTTCATTCCAGATCGCTCTACATAGCAATATTTCTTAAAAACTGGAACACGTACCAAGCCAAAGAAATTATGAAAGTTCAATCAAAATTTGCTTCATGTCTGGCAGTCAAACTTGTGGTCTTATAAAGGTTATGGATAGAGACTGCAAGATACAGGACAAGATACAATTATTTAACAATTCCATACAATTTTTCAGAAGACAAATAAAAAAGTATTCAAAATAAAAACTGCATCAGTCTTCCATCTCTTCATTTCTAGCACAAAATGAATGCGCTCTGGATTAAATGCGGGTTGTCAAGATGGAGAGCAGAAAAAGAAGTGTCAAATTGTCATGTGCTAGTGTGGTTTTACAAAGTAAAATATAAAATATTCTGTAAAATAAAAACTACACTCACTTGCCTGCTCTTCCACTAAGACAGTGCCACAAAATAGTAACCCACAATATGCTCCCTATATCTTACAATAGAGTTCATTCTTGAATTTAAGTTACTGTACATGGTGTCCCTTGCTGGTGTCATAAGATCTTTTCTTTTGTTTTTGGAAGCCTCATACTTTTCTTGATTTAATACTACAAGAGTAGCAAAGTACTTCAAAGTGCATCACACATTTTACCCATACATAAAAGTTTGTACAATATACAACAATACACAATTGATTTCCCTTACTAAACAAAATATACAAAATGCCATCTAACATGAGATAAACATATTAGAACTATTACAATACACAACAAACACCCTCAAAACCTTTGAAAGCCTTGAAGTAGGTGGCTTATAAGAAAAACTTTGTTTACGATGTTCAATTCAACATATCTGAACTTTCATTCTCAATAATGGAGTTGCCCTGCATTTTATCTTCAATGATCTTCCATATCTTGATACTTGATTTTAGATACAGAGCTTGCTTTGAAGTACGCTCAACAAATCTCTTCAGAGAACCCAGAAATACAGCAAAAAGACAACAACAACAATGCAACCAGCAGCTGCTTTCACATACATTGACTTGGTATTGAGATATGTAGCATCTTTTTTATATTTCTGGGAAAGAATGGAAAGGTTCTGAGCTTTTGTGTCAAGTTCTGAAATGAAGAGGAAAATAAAATTAATGCAAATGCTTGAAACGTAGTGTATCCAAGGAAACCTCTGCTTTACAGCATCCATACCTGACAGAACTGTGCCTCTTTGCAGCACATCATCAATGTTCTTCACCATAATTTTTTGAACATCATGTAGTTCTGAATTAAGGGATGTAAGGTTCCTTCTGGCCCGGGAATCTGTGAAGGTCTTCTTAGATTTTTGGATGTAAGTATCTAAAAAGGAAAAATTAAAATGAAGTGTGCTACTTTTTTATTTTTCTGCTGTAGGAAGATGAATGTGTTATGCTTACCAAATTCAATGAAAGAATACGGTCTGCTGACAGAGTTGACTCTCTTTCCATACTGAGAGTGAAATTCTTGGGCTAGATCTTCCAAATAGGAAAATGCTAGTCGTTTGGAATAGTTCTGTTCACATAAAACAAGATAGCACACTCCCAACTCAATTAAATAACTGAAATGGAAAAAAGGCCAATAAAATTAAAGCATTATTTTTATTTCACAAAGAAGTGAAGCAGGACTAATGATACTTACTGGAAGAAGTATGGACCAGTTTCAAATGAGCAGCGCACAGGACTGTTAGGTCCCAATTTACGAAATAACATTTTAGCCTGATTTTGGTAGTCTAAGATGCTTCGTCCAGACTGTAAGAGAAAGATAAGAAATAATATTACACCGAATTGTTCTGATTAGTCATTTACTTGCAATGTTGGGCAATAAACAAGGTTAAAGCATCTGATGAAACATTCAAGTAAAGTTGCAGGCACATAAAGAAATTTTGAAGTGGACAACAAAAGATAAGAGAGTAAATTGCTAAGTTATAAATCAACAAAACTGCAGTATGACAGATTAGCTGTCAAGGCATCTAACCTGTTCATCTTCTTGCATTGTTGCTGCTAAAGGAAGACCGTCTGCTACACGAGCTATCATCGTCATTAACACCATTTTCGAGCACACGCTAAACGCGTAGAATCCAACAGACGACGAAATGAAACTTTCAAAACAGTAGTTACAGGGGAACACAGCGTCAAACTGTTCGAGAGGTCCAAAAACAGTTTTTAAAAGCCGCAAAGTAACGACTGCTATGAACTCACGTACACGTCATGCTAAGACAGGTCTACATGGTGGAGATCCAACCGGAACTCTTCATTTCAGCATGGCGCCAAAAAGTTTCAAATTTTAATTTTACAGCTGATGAACTTGGTTCTATTTCGTGCTCTCAGGTTTGAGAAACAAGGGCTTACATAGAACACAAGAGTATTTTACAACGTCGTCTCGTCGGCTTCAACTTGAGGTGATTTCCTAAGCTTTTTGTGACAGTTCAAGTCGGTTTCAGTTTCAGCGCTATGCTTCAGGGAACCACCAGCAGAGGGCGCAAAACGCCCCCTTTCTACCGGCATCCGTTTTTCATCTCTGCCAACTTGCGGCTGGCTTCGGCTGCGTTCGGCTCCGTTCGGATTCGCCTTCGGCTGTCTTCGGCAACCTTCGGCCGCGCTCGGCAGCGCCCTCTGCCCGGAGCTCGCCCGAAAACAGGTGAAGCCTTCCAGAGCCGAGCCGAGCCGTGGTGAGCCGAGCCGTTCCGGTGTCAGTGTGTTTTGTGTTGTTGTCGCGAGAGCACTTTGTAGCCGTGCGCGGTTTATTTTCGACCCGAAAGTGTTGTGTTTGTGTCCTGTGTGTGCGTTGCGGCGTTTTTGCCTGTGATTACACCCCCGCGCTGTGGAATACCAGCAGCCAGTGTGTCGGCAGGGCGGTCGGAGCCCCAAGGTGAGTGGCTGTGTGCGTTCGGCCTGTCGGCCGCGTAGTGCTGCTGGCAGACCGGACCGGAGAGTGCCGCAGGACCCGGATCGACCCTGCGCTCCAGCCTCGTCCTCATCCGCGCTTGAAACTCGCCGAAAACGAGATGCACACCGTGCCGGAGTGTCGTCTGCTTCCAGCAGACGGCCTCTTCGGTCCGGAAAAAGCCCCCGGGACGCGTCTTTCTGTCATCACAACGGCCTTGTTGTGGAAGCGACTAGCGGCTCGGCTCCGCGCTCCGCAGCGCCAGCGACCCCCACCGCCACCATCCTCCATTGCTTTCGTCCTGCGTCCTGCAGGCCCTTCTTCCAGGCCCTTCCTACTACTTCTCCCTCCGGCCTCAGAGGACCCGCCAGGGCTGCTGCAGGAAAGCTAAAGCCACTGGCAAGCCCGCCGCCAGACGCTCACATTTGTGGCACCTTGGAAAATTTGCACTCCATTCAATAGTGAATGAACAAATAATTGGAAGACCCTTGTGCTGGTTGTAAGCCCTTTTGTCTTTGATGGAAGGGTTTCTAGTTAGTACTTTGCAAGGCTAGGCTCATTGCTAATTGTACATTGATTTTATGATACGTTGAAGGTGTAAATGTCATGCTGCTGTTCTGGTACAAATCTTACAATAATTGCTTTAGAATCGTATCACTGAATCATATCATACATCTTAATTGATCTAGCTGATCTAACGTATAAGAGCAAAATTTTGTAATTTATCACTATTGGCATTGCTGATATATACCTTAATTGGATAAATTAAGTCAGTCCCAATCCCACACTACTAATCTAAATCTTGTCGCAAATTTTGCCTTGCATATTTCCATCCAAGTGAAGTGCACGTCGCCGCTGTTGCCCCCTCCCCTCCCCTCTCTGGCCTCGCGTGTAAAAGCCGTCTGTACCTCAACGCAGGAGCCAGGGCAGAAAAGCCGCTTTTCCAGCGCAGAAATTGAAAGCGCACCGCCCCCGGCCGCCACGCCACGCCACGCCGCGCCGCGCCGCGCTGGCCCAGAAAGGAGGCTGCGAGGGGAGGGCAGGGGCTCCCTGTGGCTCCCTGTGGCGGCATCTCTTGCCAGAAGGATGGGGGCGGGGCGGGGCGGTAGCAGTTCGGCTCCATGTGTGTGCGGCGGGGGCGGGCCTGGCGGGGTGGCGGGGTTGGCGGCCTGGGGTACAGTCCCCTCCGAAAACAACAGGCAAGGCCGGCGCATGATTGGAGCACACGCTGCTCCAGGTCAAAGAATATCGCGCCGGGTTCAAATGAACTGTGGGTACGTACCACGTCGTCGCGGTTGGTTTTTTTTTTTTTGCGCTGTTTTGCCCGCCTTGCGGTGTCGGCGCGGTGGCCGCGGAGGCCGCACCGATGCCGGCGAGCGATGCCCTTCGAATCGGCTGTGGTCGCGACCCCGTCACGCTGTCATCGGACTCGGCCAACAGGACGGCACTGCGGAAACGCGGTTTTGGCGCGGTGGGCGGCGCGGCGACCGGCAGGGGGGTGCGGGGCGGGGTCGCGTGCGGGACAGGACGGCGTCCGGGGCGTCCACTGTCCAGGTGAAGGGCTTCCGGAGGCAAGTCGGAGATTAGGCCGGAGGGGCTCAGGGTTGTCAAGGCGCTTTTCGGCCAGTCCCCGCAGTCCCCGCCGCCGAATGGAACACACGGATTTTCTTTCCAAATCCTGCCGCCGTCCCTTCCTCTCCTCCTGCTCTCCCACAGTCCGGGCGTCGGCGGTGTGCGTCCGCGGGGCGGCGGCCCGGCGGCGCGGTAAAGACAGTAAATGCCCTCGGATCCTCGGAAATCCAGTTTACAGTCCGGCGGCCCGCGGCCCCACACTGTGGCCCCACATGGTGCATCCTGACGGTGTTTGTGTGGAGCAGGGCAGGCAAGGCACCGCGCCGCCTAATCGGGCTGGGGAAGCCAGTCGTTTTACGAGCCCAGTGGGACGCGCTCTTTCTCTCTCGCACCCTTACGGAACGCCCCCGAGTGCTAGAGAGAGGGCCGGGCGGTGGGGTGGGGTGCGGTGCGGTGGGGTGGCTCCAGTAGGTGTGGGGGCGGGGCGGGGCGCGGCGGGGTGCACGTCGCCAACGTCGCCGCCACCGGGAGGGCGCCAGCGTCGCAACTTTGGTGACGCGGAAAACTGCAGAGGAATTTATCTGGGGGCGGTGCTGCGTGGCCCTCCTCCTTCCCTGCCGCTGGCGTTATCGTGGCCAAGGACCGCCGCGGGGGAAGAAGAGAGAGAGAGAAAGAAACAAAATTGGGGATGATGCGAGCGTAAAATTTGGGCGAGAGATGGCGGGGCGGCGGCCGTCGTCGGCGTAGCTAATACGGTGGTGATCTCGCCCTTGCGACGTCGTCGCCCTGCCCGCCCCGAGCTCCCCGCCTCGAAATAGACTCCACGTTCTATTCTCTCCGAAGCCCCCGGCCGGGGCGGCCCGCCACGCTACGGCACGCCACGCCACGGCAAGCCGGCTCTGGAGGTCAGTCAATCGCGCGTCGATCGCGCGTCTCGGGCGCGCTGCGGACTCATTGCTCATGCCGAGCGGCGCTGTCGCCGTCTCTCTCGCACTCATGGCGCGGCCCGTGGGGGTGCGAGAGAGACAGTGCGTCTGCAGCGCAGCCAGGGCTTGAGATGCGGCTGGAATCCCAAGCCGTCTCGAGTGGCCGTGCAGCGCGGAGGGCGGATTAATGTTTTTAATTCGATTATCGGGGTTCAGTGGTGGAAAGCACGGCGCGGCTAGCGGCCAGGGGCGTGCTGGACGGGTGGGTTCGCGGCCAGGCAGCCAGTCCACCCCCCCGGCGAGGTGGTCCTCCATCCCGCGGCCATCTGAGGCCCGGCTGCCCCGGGCTGCCCCGGGCCCGAGGGGGGCGCTTGCGTATTTATCGTGGAGGGGGTGGGGGCTGCTTAATGGAGCAGGCGAGCACGGCGTCGGCCATCGTAAACCAGCAGCTTTTTCCCCGTTTCTCCTCCTTCTTCTTCGTTTCGTGCCTGCGGCCCGGACCGTGAGCTCGGTTTTCGAATTTGGCGCGCCAGCAGAGCCAGGCGAGCCAGCCAGCGGCGTGATTGGCTTTCTTTATCCACTCGGGGCGACAAAGGAACAGCTGGCGGGGCGTTGCCGCGCTGCCTGCCTGCCCGGCGGGGCGGCGCGGCTCGGCGGTCAAGTGCCCGGACGTGGCTACAATGCCGCGCCCGGAGGCCGTGGAGGCCCCAAGGCAGCCCGGCGAGGCCTGACGTCAGCGGGGGGAGACCCCTTCCGGGACACAAACCCCTTCCAGAAGGGCACACTCCAGCACTCCGGGCTAATTTGCAGATCCGCCGTGCCCCGCCCCCTGGTTTTACATGTTTGACTTGGCTGTGCCGTTTCGCTCGCTTCGCTCGCTCGGCGGGCACGGCTTAGCCTGGCTTGTCGTAGCGCCATTTGTGGCTGTCCGCCCCACGGCCCTGGCTGCCTCTCGCCTGCCTCTCGGCTGCCAGGCACTGGCCGTCTTTTTGTGCGACTTGGTGTCCTTGCGGTCGCTTCGCTGTGCCATCCTTCCTCCCCCTGCCTTCTCCCTGCGCGAGGCCCTGGGGCCCGTCGGCCCTTCCACGACTCGGGCCGATAACGCTGCCCAGCATGTATCACACTCACCTCCGCGACGCGCAGGACGGGCTGCCCGCCGCGCGCCAGCGCGCCACGCCCTCAAGATACATGGAAAGCCAGTGCCCCTCGCAGTGCCCCGCCCCCGGCCGGCCAGGGGGGCGAACGCCCTGCGAAAGCCCTGCTGCGAAAGCCCTGCGAAAGCCGTGCTGCGCTGGGAAATCCCTGGGAGAGTCATTGATTTTTTTTGGGTGTGTGGAAACGGGGTGGGGCGCCATCCCTCTTCCAGCGGGGCGGCCGGGCGGAGGCCGGGCGGCCCGGACATGAGTACTCGGCGAAGGCCTCGTTGTGCTCCATGCCGCTCGCTGCTCGGGACGCGGGCCAGCGCCAGGGACGGCCATGCCAGCGCCAGCCAGCGCCCAGGGCCCTTGCCAAGTCCATGGCTGACAGAGTGCACGCCGCGAGGCCGAATGGACTCCCCGCGACGCCCAGGCGACGCCCACGCCCTGCGCCTTGGGCTGGGGACGGATTCCGGGAGTCGCTTCCGTCGCTCTGTCTCTCTCGCACCTTGACGGCACGCCCTTTGAGTGCGAGAGAGACAGAGCGACGACTCTCGGAATGAGTGTGCTGCGGCCCTTGGCGCCGCCCCGCGACGCCCTGCGCCTTGGGCCGAGGCCTTGCTCCACTTGCTCGAGGCCCTGCAGCCCTGCAGGCCGATTCTGGTGCCTTCGTCCTTCGCTCCAGAGTCTCTAAGCTGGACTCGAGTCCCATTTAGCGACTCTTGAGCTCAAAACGCGTCTAGAATTTTGGCCGCTCCTCCGGTCTTCTGGCCCACTGTGGCGTGCTGGTCGGAATCGGCCTGCTGGCCCCGTCTGATGGCGGTCTCGCGATAGATCTGACGTGACGCCACGCCACGCTACCCGATACCCTCCTGGCCGCGGGTTCGGGTCACGTAGCTTTTCGAGAGCGCTCTCCGGAGGCACTGGAGACTGGTTCCGGGACTCGTCTTCGTGGCCCTGCCTCTCTCGCACCTACAGGCGCGCCCCATGGGTGCGAGTGAGACAGCGACGAAGACGAGTCTCTCGGCATCAGTCTGCTGGAGTCTGCCCGCGTTGCCGATAGCGAGAGAGGGTTCCGAATTGGCAGTCTCGCCTTCCCCCGCCGACGTCTTCATTCGCCGCGCCCCGCTGGCCGTCTCTCTGTCTCTCTCGCACTCGTGCCGGGCAAGCCGCAGTCTGCGGGAGTGCGAGAGAGACAGAGCGGCGAATGAGCCTACTGCAGGAGCCGCTGGAGCCTCCAGTGATGGCGAGTGAAGGCGATGTCGCCTGGGTCCGCCCGGCCGAGCATGAGAATTGCCATTTCCCGGGGAGCAGCAGGGTCCTCGCGGGGGCGGGGCGGGGCGGGGTGCTT